GTGCGAAAACCCAACCTTCAGAGATTCAGCGACTGCAATCATCTGCTCTCTAAATATGAATCATAGACAGTCTCAAAGCTGTCTGATGCTCGTTTTTTTAGTAACTGACATTCTTGACTATCTTCATTTTTTGTGAAAGATCTTTCTCAGTCATAATTATCTCGCAACACCCTCTGAATCCATCTCACCATCCACCGAAGCTGTCTATGATCCAAGGATCTTATATGCAATCAATAATACAAGAGGATACTCATCCCACCGTAACTACCAGACGCTGTCAAGATATAGTCGAAGTAGGGGTCTTATACTCGTCTTTCCCTCGTCGATGGATACTAATAAATCGAGCTGCGACGAACCAACACTGACAAAAGATATAAGTCATTTCGCCAGCACATTAACAAGAGCATTCGAAAAAGTTAACCCCATTTTTGCCTCGCTCTTGAGCACTTAAGTGTGTATCCGCCCTCCACAGCAAAGGTTACGGATGCGACGAGACAAGTCCAGATCTTAGTGTGGACAGCGTTGAAGTTTTTAAGATGGGAAGAATAGCAGGAAAACAATAAAGACTATCTAATAGAGAGGGCCTTTGTGAGTGATTTGACGAGGTTTCCGATCAAAAATACTGCTCACAGATGTGACAAGAGAATGCTGAGACCAGGTAAAGGCGGCAAACAAATGATGAGACAAGATGAAAAGCTAGAGTTTATCAATAACTATGATTCGGAAGCGCGGCGAAGCGAGCTGAGGAGGAATCGGCGCTTCGACATGCTAGAGTCGGGTACTCTGCACGGTTGCACTTGGTTTGATCAGAAACGTGCGCAAGACTTAAAATGACCTTCAGAGGAGGGCAAAGACTGAACATCTTTACGCGTTGTCCTCTACGAACCTGGGAGTGTAATATTCTTTCAGAGCCAAGTTCAGTCAAATGTCGCAATATCAAAGAAGTTGGCCCTCAAGGCAATAATTTAAAGTACTCCACCACGTTAAGACTTCGCTCCCAACGAGTTTGAATCCTATCCAAGCCTCATTAAGTCTACAAGTACGACTTAGTACATCCTCATGTCAATGACCACACCTCTTATTGATTATTTTCTGGTATTAGCTGACCACCAAATAAATGTCTGCGCTGATATTAACACCCGACAGAGGAAACATTGCGAGGCAAATAAATCTGGGAGATAGTTCTATGGGATGGTTGTGTGAGGAATCAGGACAAGTTTACAAGATGATGCAGAAGAGATATACATTCTCGACGGGCGTGAAATTTCGAATTTTGGCAAGGAGTTTTACAAATTGAGCGTTGTATGCGTCAAGACTCCGCTTGCGAGAGTGCGGCTGACACTATAAACACAAGCAAACGATGGAAGGAGTTGTTGTCCGCCTCCTGGTGGTGTTCTCTGGTATGGTTTGAGTAGCCTGGGCACCTACTCCACTTGGGAAGGAGACATCTTAGATCATATTTCGCGCGGAGAAAAGTTGAAAGATGATGGAGGCATGTCTGGATAACCCCAGGGTTTTTGAGATGTTCCCCTGGGTGGGTATTCACGGATGAGGGTTGACTTGGGGTGAAGAAAAAGCTACCATGACTTCGCAGTGGTACTTGCAAATGAAATCTGAGGCATGAGTGCTCTAGTTTTAGGTTGAGTCATCTGTCCTATTCTTTTTATTTAATGTTGAATCCTAGCTAGATGGCTGCACACGCAATTAAAAATCTGATGGAATAAAAAGAATCCATTAAGAGGATGGCGGTGGTGGTCAAGAGCCTGTTATAGCTTGGCAGGGATATGAGAGAGGGCCTAGTGCCTGGTAGCCGAGACAACCTGAATGCTATATTGTAACGCGAAAGCTACGTAACATGGCCACGATCTGCCATTGCTCGCGTCACTCGTTTATTTCATACACGTCGCGACCGGCAGCGCTCAGTACCTTGTGGATATACAGGCCCCAGCTCTTCGCCGAAAATCGATATCTAGTTTGCCCACAGGACCGATCGGCTTTTAGAGACCAGGATATCGAGGTCCACATCGCTGGTAACGCCGCGCCCGCTCCGCAGGCCAAGATGGACAAGAGCCCATGCGAGCAAATAAATGGCGGAATGGAACAGCGGTAGTCGTTCTCTTGGTCCGATCGACGCCGTTATGGTCATGCTCCCTTGATCTATCAATCCCTCCTATCTCAACGTCTCCTAATCTCAGATACGACCGGTCCCACAACAGTATACCGCAAAACTGACTAAAAATACAAGCTAGCTTATTGCGTCGTGTTTCTCCTAGCAATCTTTCGCCTTTCGCCCTCTCATCATGTAGATTTGTTGTATCCCCTACGGTAGATGTGCGCAGCACTAAACTCTTTGTAACGTTGGAATTCTGCACCGAAGGTCTAGGACCTGTCGCGCGTGCCTTGACTCTCTTATTTTTTTCATGTGGATCTGATGGCGACATGTTTTGTGTAGGGTGCCAAATATCCTTGAAAATTATAAAAAGACTTGGGAGATACTTCAGTCCAGTTTGATCACTGGGCCATGTGACTCGAAGAGAGACGGCGCTAGTTGCATCATGTCATCCCGCGAGGGTGCAGGAGTTGGTGAGATCTTGAGTCTCAGTTGCCGACGTAATTTGAGTAAGTTCGAGTCTGCCTGAGTCATAAAGTGGATGTATGGAGCGGCCTCACGTCTTGGTATGGATGAGGGTGGAATTCCAACCGTCTGGATTTCCGATGAGAAGTAACGCCAAACGAATCCCCCTCATTGATTGGTTTGACCCTGGATCAGTAACTGCCATGTTGGGAAAATATCTGAGGTCGGTAGCCATTGTCTGCCCTCAGCCCTACGAGATTCATGGTAGAAATGGGTTTCGCCTGCCAAAATTTACTGGTTTGGGCTGGTTTAGGGGAGAAATCGACAATGGAGAATGTATTCTAGATGGCAGCGAGCCCAACGTTTCCCTGGACCTGACAGTTACAACCGAAGCCACCGCCCCTGCGCGGAGCTCGGAATCCGACTCCGATCTCACCGCCTTTTCTAATTCGGCCTGAGTAGCCTATTGGCCCCTGCGATGGATGAGAGGGCAGAATAGTCAAGCGATTCTAGAGCTTCTCCAACTGAGGGGATTAGGAGAGTTGGCCCGCGGGTCACTTCCTCCAGACATTCTCCGCATCGAAGCATCTACTCCCCGAAAGCCTTGTGCGCGTAAGTGAGGTAATAGAGGGACGTTTATGTGCGAATAAGAGAGGGTCGATCTCACTTGCTTAAATCAGTCGGAGAACTTCTTCGGGGAGTTCCTGGCGCGCCACAAAGAACAGTACTAACGGTGGTCGACATGCTTTCCGAGACCCAGATTCTTGGTAGGATCAGAGACTAAATTGCCACCCATAGGACATGTCGCCTCTTTTGTCGCTACGAAGAGCCTGGTTCCCTTGAGGTTCGTGGGATAGATGTAATGAATGTAATGGATGAGTGGACCATACAGCCACGCCTTATCAGCGCCTTGTCCCGACAGTGAAATTTAATTTTAGCTTGTCCGGCTAGATGCCAGAGCCTTTCTAGATTTCGAATCGAGATTGATCTCTAGTCTCACAGCTTCCGTCGCTAGAAGCTCAGGGCGCAACGTGCAGATCTCGCGGATGCAAGGTGACGCTCTGCAAGCCACGAGTCCTCGCTGCTCGTGGCATCATGGTACAGCCTCTCCCAGCCCCTATCTCCAGTAGCGTCCATGGTTCTGGGGCAGAGCGCAACTGTTCTTCACGTATAGATACTAGCTAATGACGGTCGAATTTGGGTGTATCCGACTCACAAAACGCTGTTCACTCGGTAAGAACTCTGATGAAAGCTGGAGTTTTGGTCTTCTAGTATGCTCGCCAGGTTTGAGGATTATCGGCGGCGAACTTCTGCAATCCCAGAGCTGTTCGCAGGCTGACAAATCTGATCTAGACATAATTGTTTTTTTACCTAGAACCTCAACCAGGATACACTCCACACCGCTGCTCGGAATTATTGTGTCTACCGCTCAACCTAATTCTATCTTTGGGTGAAGGCAAAACGCGTGAGCACATCACTGATCTGCTCTGCATTATTTTCCGTTTGCGCCTACGCTACCCCAACCTCCTGGTACTTGATGATTCGCCTGATGCTGCTCCAATGCGGCTGCGGCTGCGGCTATGGCGACGGCGACGGCGACGGCGACGGCGGCTCAAGCTGACGCTGATGCTGATGATGTCAGGCCAAGGTCTTGGCACCGAGTTGTCATATGGGTGATCGGGGCGGCCGATGGGACTGACGCAGACTGCGCCCATCTCCCCCAGAACTCATTCATCTAGATCATGTGAGGTGAGCCGGGTTTCAGCCGGTCTGGGGACTCATCGGCGCTCACGACCATGTACTGGTCTTGGCCGTGTCAGGCTCGCTGTGACAGATCGGTTCAGCCGTGGCTTGACTCGACGTTACGTCTCGTCAGCCTCATACCCATCTTTGGCGCCTTTCCAGCCGGGCTCTTATAACTCGACTTCGTACCTACATTCTTTTTCATCAGATCGACAATCACGATACTTTGCTTCCTCTCACACTCTTATCTTGCATCATCTCCTCAATCACTCATCACATACCTAACAAATTCTCCTTACTCCCCGTCCTCTCATCTTAAGCTTTTGTTTCACCTGGGGTGAAATTGTTCTCGTTCGTTTTCCCCACCCTGCCTCATCCTTAGTCATCTCACTCTCTGATATATATACAGGTCACGTGACATTACCTGGAGTTATCACTCAGCCACGACAAGTTTAGCCTCTCAGAAACCCGTGAAATAGCATTGCACGTACCAGCCTGCGCAAGTCATCATCAACAGCGTCATTTCGCGTGAACAACCTCTCCACCCGAGCTTATCGCAATTCCCACTACACGTTCTTTAAAGACTCGATCTCGCTTCCTCCACATCATCAACAAGTTCAGGAAGCGACGGTCAACGACCACTACCAATACTACCGCCGTCACCACCTCTTCAGAGAAGACTATGAACTCTCAGAGTAGGTTTGCTCGGCGAGTTCTGGCTTGGAAGCAAACAAGCTAATTGTTCATCGAGTAGCCTCCAATCTTTTCGACTACGCTCTCAAGTCGAACGACGCATGGGCAAACTACAAAGGCCATCAAAACCCGGCATTCTTTCAAAAGGCTGAGGCCGGTCAGAGTCCATCTATCTGTTCGTCTTCTACTCATCCTGTCCAGCACAAGTGAGAGACTCCCCTCTAACGAATACAGTATGGTTGGGATGCTCCGACTCTCGCGTGCCGGAAACTACGGTCCTAGGACTTCAACCAGGTGATGTATTCGTACATCGTAACATCGCCAATATTATCTCACCTACCGATATAAACAGCATGGCAGTAATCGAGTATGCCGTCGAACACCTCAAAGTAAACCACATCATGCTCTGCGGTCACACTTGCTGTGGCGGCGCAACCGCCGCGCTCGACGATGTTCGCGTCGGTGGTGTCATTGATACATGGATCACTCCCTTACGTGCCCTTAGGAGGACCAACGCTGAGGAAATGGCTGAAATCAAAGATACTAAACAGAGGGCAATCAGATTGGCCGAGCTGGGTGTTGAGATGGGTGTGCGCAACCTGCTCAACAACTTCTCGGTGAACCAAGCCATCAATGAGCGCGGTCTTACTGTTCACGGTTGCATCTACGATATTGGCTGCGGCAAAATTCGAAATTTGAGATGTGGAACCGACATCTGTATCGAGCCACCAGCCAGCAAAGCAACGGGACTCGTCCGCGGCGATCATGGAACCTTGGTTTTTGCCGACGACGGTAGGAACATGGCTATCCAGTGAAGTTCGCCGGAGGCGCCATCAGAACGGCGACGAGAACGTGCCAAGTGTTGGTTATGGTTTTGGTGAAAAAAGGTTGGGTGCAATTGGGTCGCCAAGCTGTGGCTGTGCGAAACGGGGAGCAAAAGGCTTGAGCGTGCCAAAATCGGCGTCATTACGTTATGTTTTTGTTATCGTGACAGGGTTCGAAGCACGCGGAAGGGCTTTATTTCATTCAGTAGAGACGCAAGGAAGCGGTTATCTGAATGGTTTGTAATTGATTACGTTTCTCGGTCTCGCAAGTAGGGTCTCAACTGGCAGCTCTGGTCTGTTACACGGTTGACAGGTCGTCTAAAGCTAGTTATTAACATACAAATCAAATGATCTGGGCTGTAAGATTTTGTCTACTGGGATATGCGTGGTCCGCGTGACTGCTACTTTCTTTTTGTTGAGGTTTTCCTCGCCCAGCGGACCGACGATAATACGAGAGTGTTTTGGAAGTTTCTGTCATTAAGTCGGGGGTGTCCATGTCTCGAGAAGGGGTTCTGGTTCTATTGTTTCTTGGTCGACAGGGTCGCGGAAGATTTGCGCTGATGTGGAGAGCATGATAAGGGACACGTGGCCAGGATTGCCCAGTCCAGACCATCTAGCCAGGGCATTAGTGTCACGTGAGGCAGTAATTGAGAGCAGGGGCTAGCTTAGATGAAGAACAGTGGAAACGATGATCGACGTCAAGGGACGCGGGCGGGAAGTGAGCCTATTGCAGGGATTAAGAAGTGAGGGCTAGGCTAGTTGCCCAGGCACCGAGGCGGAACGAGCGTTCGCCACCGAGTGGGACGCGACGCGTGCACCACGAGCGGCCTAGGCGTCGCCATTCATGGCGGAGTCGATGCCAACCGACACTCAGCCCTCTCAATCCTTGGCCCGACCGGCGAACATCCATATCAGAGAAGCCAAAATAATCGCCTCGGACTCTGCACTAGCTACGGATTTCAGAGAGTCTGGTGATATTAGGATAGTCGACGTGTCACCGTCCGAGTTTAATTAACCTTATTCATCACTTCACGTCGAGTATCTGGCCATCCAGGACTCAAGGCCCGCTAGATCTGAACGTCTAGTCTTGCCTCTCGTTTGTGTTTCAGGGCGCGCCGTTCCCCGCATCACCATAGATTGCGAATAGACCTCGACGAACTCAAGCTCGAATGTCGAGCAGATGAGATAATCGCACTATCAGTCCGCTTGGCCCTGCCATCGTGGAACTCTCGAGGCAGCAAAACGATGCGTGTTGAAATAAACATGGGAATAGAGCCACAAAGGCGAGAACATACGGAGCTTATCATGGTTTCAGAGGCTAGCCGTATAGTTTAGATCGAAAAAGTCAATCTACCTGGCTAAAGCATTACAGCCAGGAGGCATGAGATGAGTTCGTGCTCCCGCATGGCTCGTCTAATAGCAAAGCTATCTCATCTGGCCAGATGTTTTCATGATTGAAAAACAGAATTCATGAAGTCCTGCCTCTAGTCAGCTCTCCCCAAACAGTTAGCCTGAAAAATATGTTTCTCGGGTACCATGATTGTCCTGCTCCAACTTTGCTCACCGTACCATTCCGACCCCACTCGTGCTTAAGCTCCAGTAGGAGTGCAACGGTAGTCACTTAACTGAGCACGTTAATGAACAAGAAAAAAGTAGCGACCACATCGTCTTCTGTGCTGTAAGCGCTAGTGATGCTATCCAATACATAATCTGGTAGGTATGAGTAAATTCTCCATCACGCAACGTTTTCTTACATTTTTTACACAAATTGTACCACTCAACATCTCCCTTCCTCAAAGAAGACCACTTCAGCGATGTCCTGTTATCTTATATAATATCTCTTCATGCGTTACGGGACGTTAGTAATAAGCTACTGGAGACCAATGTATCGAGTGGGTCTATTCTTTTGTCACCTAAATTCGACAGTCTCATCGGCACACTGCCTCTCGTATCTGTCAAGAGTTGCAATGCATATTTGTCTTTGATTATTCCTCAAGATACAATTTGCAACGTAGTTAACTAAAAGATTTTTCAAAGCCGATTTAGCCAGTTTATGAGCACGGATACTTTCAATTATCCTGGAATAATTTGAGATCGTGACGGGCTTAGGCCGGATTGGGACTGGTCACTAGGACCACTCCGTCTTCGAGGTTAGGCTGTGACAGAGCAGCGCTCCTTAAAATGCGAATGGGGCGCATAAGGAGTTATGAAGGAGGGTATGAACTAGATGGAGAGTATGGTATAGGAGAAGAGGTGAGCCGGGGAGAAAGGATGATTCTCAAGTGCACAAGGTGGGAAGTTAAGACTCGTCTACTCAGAGCATATAAGAGATGGGAGACTACGTGATAGTTTGTCTTCCCAAGGAATGAGTTCCTAGTTCCTATCGAGTTATTGTCTTTAAAGTACATCTAAAGAAAGTTGCGTGGAACACTTTATTGCGTTGTAAATGTTGACTAGAGAATCCTTCTGCTACAGATGAAGTGTATGTACTGTTAGTAATGTCACATGACCTGATTAGCTTAGTTTACACGAGGAGGTCAATGTCACGAAACAGGTCGTGATTTAGTCAATCAAACGAGGGAAAGTAGTCTATTCAGATTCTCTATGAAGAATGAGAGGTAAATACAGAGGGAAAACACGTTCTACACATATGCCAAGTGCGCGCTAATATGCGAGGGATCGACATTAGTTGTGGACCCGTAACATCACCTCTCTCCTCTCGGCTCTGAAGTTTCAAGTCGTTTTTTTCTTTCCAGATATTCTCTTGTTTTTATTTTTGCCTCGGGATCCCGTATAGCTACCTGTATCTGGATCACCTACATTATCACCCTCCCCGTACTGTTGGACGAAGTCGCGGAAAGCGTCTGTTAGAACGAAATTTTCTCGCGGCTCCCAGGATGTTTCTTTATAGTCTTTGTATTTTACACATAGTAGCCTTTTACCATTAAATTTCTCAGCTCTTAAGATTTTGTCAACGGCGTAAAGAGGATGTTTTCCGTCAAGCAGTGGCGGGGGCTGGCTGTCGTCTGTAATTTGAGAGGGTAGGGGATCATCAGGATCCCGACGGAGGAGGTCCACAAAGAATCTCGGGTGAATGCCGCTAGGGACATCAAGTTCGTAGACATCTGGAGCCACAACTCTTGTAATTTTGTATTTGGCATTTGTCCAAGAGAACTTCTTTTTAAGTTGTGGAGTTATAACGTTTTTGAGGTTCAGCCAGACTTTGTCCCCGACTTTTAAAATCTCAGCTGGTTTTCTTCCTTTATTGGCATTGTGTTCCATAATTTGCTGTGCAGTTGCCATGGCTGCCTTAGCAAGTTCTTGACCATCGTAGAGTCGATTCACGAAAGCATTAGCTCTGGATTTTGGGTCTTTAGTGGAGCCGGATTGAGGGGCTCGACGTTGGATAGGGTCGAGGTGGTAACCATGGGTCAAAAAGAAAGGACTAAAGCCAGTTTTGGAGCTGTCCCTATTGTTAATCGCCACCATAGCAGAAGGGAGGAGTTTAGCCCAGTCATTTTGGGCATATGAGATATAGGCACGTAGGTAAGTTAGAACTTCCTGGTTCATTCTTTCAGTCCCTCCATCGGTTTGGGGGTGAAAAGCTGTGGAGAGGCGTTGTTGGATACCCACAAGCTGGCAAAGCCGCTGCCAAAAACGGCCGACCCAATTAGAGCCTCTATCTGAGGTTAACGAATTTGGAAATCCATGGTATCTCCAATGGCTTATTACAAAACGCTCAGCGCATTTTTCAGCCTCCATGGTTTCCATTGCCTCTAGTGTGGCGCCTCCTAACAGGCGATCGTGTATGACCATAAGAAATCTTTCATTTTTGTCTGTTAAAGGGAGTTCTGTCATAAAGTCTAGTGCTAGTTCACTATGAAAACGGTCTGGTATGGGCAGAGGTCGTAATAGTCCTTGAGACGACTGGCGCCAAACTTTAGATCTCCCGCAGACATGACAGTTTCGTACAAATCTCCTTACATCCTTGTACTGTTGAGGCCAAAAGAAGCTCCGTGCTAAAATAGACAATGTCACTTCGCGCCCCGGGTGACCAGTCACATGGGAATCATGCACTCGTTGTATTAATGCTGTACGGAGGGGTTCCCAGTCTGGGACCCACAGAGCTCCACGGTAAGTTAAGGCAAATTTATCATCGAAGGTACAATCTGGCATTTGTATAGAATTTCCTACTGAAGAGGGTAGGGAGCGATCTTCTTTAGCAACGCTGGAATAAATTATTTTAAAGGATGGATCCATTTTCGTTGCTTGATCCCATAATTTTTGAATATGTATTTCGTCGAAGATATCTTTTCCCTTAGGAGGTCCTTCAACGACCGTAACTCTCGACAATGGCGGCGCCTGGCCAATAGGTTTCAGATCTTGGTTTGGCAATTGAATTATACTGGCTTTTGCCCGTCTCCTAGTTTCCATTACCGAAAGATTTAAGTGGATAGGTGGCTCTTCTTTAGCTAACGGTGAGACCCATCTATGTTTAAGGAGTTGGAACTCTCTCCTTTTCAATCTTTCATCGTTAAAATCTTTTGGCTTAAATTCTGTCTTTCTTGACAGCAGGTCTGGTTTAGTTGATTCTATTCCTGGTCTAAATTTAATTTCGAAATTGTAGTTGGAAAGTTCTTCTGCCCAGCGAACTTGACGCTCGGACAACTGCCTAGTTGACATGAAATAACGAAGGTTACGATGGTCAGAAAGGACAAGGAAAGGAGTACTGACACTGCGTAGCTCACCTCGAAAGTGTTTAATTGTTGATAGAATAGCTAGCAGTTCTTTGTCGTGAATCTCGTAGTTGGATTCAGCTGCGGTGAGCTTCCTTGAAAAAAAACCCACTGGCCGGAGGCGGCGTTTTTCATCCATCTGTGAGACTACGCCCCCTATGGCATACCCAGATGAGTCTGCTTCCAAAATTGTCTCCGCCTCTGGATCAAACATTTTGAGGACAGGTGCGGTAATTAACAGTCCTTTCAACTTAT